CGGGGCCGCCGCCTGGCTCGGCCGCCGGGAAGCGCGTCCCCAGCCCCGCGCGGAGGGGTCCAGCGTCGTTAGGGTCCGTCGGCGGCAAGCGTGTGCCCGTGGGCTCCGGGCCTGGGTATCGGATGAGCAGAGCTTGCCTTGGTTTACTAGTTTGCGTTTAGAAGGGTAGCACGAGGGTAGCAAACTTTGTTGCCCCAAACAGAGGCACCGCGACTGCGCGCAGAGGCAGCGCAAAGCGAGCGGGGAACCCCAACGCTGTTCCCGGGCACAGCGGGCTCCTGGGGCCCCCCGCTACCTTGAGAACGGTTCTCTGAGTTTTCCTGCCAACTCTCTGTCCCCGCACTCCCTGCAGATGTCAATGTGGCTTTGCGCAAAATCGCCAACTTGCTCAAGCCAGACAAAGAGATCGTGCAGGACGGCGACCATATGATTATCCGCACGCTGAGCACTTTTAGGAACTACATCATGGACTTCCAGGTTGGGAAGGAGTTTGAGGAGGATCTGACGGGCATAGATGACCGCAAATGCATGGTGAGGATTCGCGTGCACCCGGTGTCCCCTGCCCAGGGTGCCTAACCAAGGCCTGCGTTAGTTGGGAGGGAGGGGGAGGGGGCGTGTTTTAAGAGACCGAGACCAGGATCTTCCCACTCCCAGCCCCCAAGGTAGGCAGCGCTGACTCATCAAGCACCCTGCTCCATCCCAGCCGGGTGGTAGTCATTATGAAGGCGGTGGTGTGTTGCGTCTCCACTGTGTCCAGGCACTCTGCCAGTTGCTTTATACACATGACTTCACCGAAGCTCACACAACTTTTGAGGAGATGTGGGTATGCCCATTTTAGAGGTGAAGAAAGTCTTAAAGAGGTGAAATAACATGTCTGGAATGACATAACTTGGGAGAGGCTAGGCTGGAATTCCAAGCAAGTCAGTCTCCTCTATTCTCCGGCTAACTGTGAGCTGGTGGAGGAAGAAGAGGGGAAAGGGAAGAAAGAAAGAAGAAACACAGGGAACCCCTTGGAAGTGTAACCTTCCTGTGTGACCTAGGTGAAGTCACTCTAAGAAGCAGGGGACCTTGATCTCTGCTGGAAGCCCTCTCACCTGTCTATTCTCACCCCAAAGCTGAGATCTGGCTGCTGGCTGTCCCCTGCCCACTCTGTCATGCATTGCCCTTTGAGCTTCCTTTGAACCTTGCAGCCAGCACCTACTCAGGAGGTCAGTGCCCCTGCAGCCCAGGCCAGAGGAAGTAGCTGTGGGGGAGGGGGAGGGCCATGAGCCTCCCTCCCCGAGTGTGGGAAGCTGGTGACCTGGAGAACCCAATTAGTGCTGCCACAGCAGATTCCGGAAGGTCAGCCCCAGGCCTCCATCAACATTGCTGGGTAGTCAGGGGACTCCTCGTCTCCCTTTCATAATTGTGGGTCCAGAGCTCATCCCCAAGAGCCACCTTGCTTATTGATGGGACCCTTGCCACCCTACCCCCATTTACCAAAGGTTTTTACCTGTACTGTGTCCGTCATTTTACACCACAGCCCAGTGGGGGAGGATTAGTGTATTAATCCATTTCTGTAGCTTAAAACAAAACACGTGGAACTGGGTGATTTGTAAGAAAACGAAATTTATTACAGTTTGTGATGCTGGGAATTCCAAAGTCCAGGGAATACATCTGGTGAGGGTCTTCTTGGTGGTGGCTTTACAGCAATGCAGGGGTTTCACATGGCAGAAAATGGCAGAGCAGAGAGAAAGAAAGTTCCTCATGCACTCTCCTTTTAAAACCCTCAGAACTGCACCCACTGTTCCAAGAATGGATCAATCCATCCATGAGGGTACAGCCCTCACAATTTAATCACTTCTGCAAGGCCCCATCTTTCCAGTACCACAGTAGCATTTCCCACCCTCTTAACACTGTCACAGTGGAGGTCAAGTTTTGGGGGGGACATTCATGCAATCCAAGGTAATTGCTAACCCCATATTATGCAGTGGCTGAGGCTCAGAGAGGGGAGGAGATGCAAGAGACGGTGGAGATGGGACTCAAGCCCTGGGCATTCTGATGAGGAGCCCACACTCCTGCTCCCTGCCAGGCTCCACTGCTGATGGCCTTGACAGCCGAGATTGGTTAGCGCTGTGGTTGAACAGTTGCCGGTGTGGAGGACCCCTCCCCCCACCTTGCTTGTTCATCCGCGGGCAGTCAGGATTGCAGTTTGAACGGTGGGGATGAAGGGGTGGTCAGCAGAGTGTCGCTGGAGGGGCCCCTAGTTAGAGAAAACACTACTGTTGTAGGGAAGTGTCAGGTTGTGCCTTTAATAAAAGTCTCAAGGTCTTTTAATCTTCCATATGGCTCACATGGGAAAAAAGATCTACAGACAGGGTCTTTCTCATCACTGGCCAAGACCTGCTCCCTGGCCCACTGCATGGAACTCTGCTCCCCAAGAATAATACCTGTCCCCAGCCCACTCTTGGGCCCCTCACAGCACACATCGAGTGTGTCAGTATTTTGGGTCACTGCAACTCTGGAATGTGCTGGCCTGTACTTGGCTAATTATCTTCACTCCCTCCCTCATCCACTAATGGGGAAACCTGTGCTGATCCCCAGCAATACTAGTGAGGGCCCATCAAGTCCTACTGTGTGCCAGGTACTGCTCACATTTTATACTAACTCAATTCTCCCAACACCCTTTTTAACCCAATTTTACAGATAAGAAAACTGAGGCAGGATTTCTTGCTGTGTGACGTTGGGGAGGTTCAGTAAGTGGCAAGAGAGGATTTGAGTCAACCACTGCACCGTACATGCTGCTTCCCCACACACCAGTCACCGCACCAGGCAGACTGCACAGCAAGTCATAGTCCCCCAGGTCCAGGAAATCACAGTCTTCGTGGTGGACACATACACACTAACGGTCACAACAGCCTGCTCAGGGATGACAAAGGGAAGCACGGGGTGGGGGTGGGGGATTCTGAGGGGACCCCAGAGGGATTTTGGGAGGAGGTGACTTCTGCACTTAGTTGTAAAAGTAAAGGGGGGTGGAAGGAAGGGTTTGGGACACAAAGAAAGGGTCAGTGGCTTTTCTCAACACGGCATCAGGTCCCTGGTAGGTGAGCAGACAAGGGAGCTCAGCAGCTGGACAAACTAGATGAAATTGGGCCAGAACTCATGGTTACCTCTGCTGCACCAGGACTCAGGGAGGCCCACTTCTAAGTAGACTGCCATGTTCTCACCTTGTCGATGTCTGTTGGGAGGTGGGACAGCCCCCCTGCTGTGTTCGGGCCTTCTCTCTGGGCTGCTCACTGCATGGTGTACAGCTTTGGACCCCACCGAAGAGCACGGCTGGGGATGGTGTAGGGTAATAGAATTATAGCCTGAGGCCCGTGAAGGAGGGGAGCCAGTTGCCAAGAGGCCACCCTGGCTGAGGTCTCTAAGGGCCCCCACAGGTCCCAGGCGAGGTGGTTGCCTGAGATCACTTTTACCACTGCCCATCAGCCCCACACGCTCAGCACCCACCAGCAAGGAACGGCGGCCTGGAGGAGTTTGTTCCCAGCACATTACAGGAGCCGATTCTCACCTGGGATCATTCCTTCATCTGTCCTGTTTGTTCCTCCCTGAGCTCTTCGAGCATTTCACGGTGTGGACTGTTTTTGTAGCCCCTGTGTCAGTGAGGTGAATCACACACGATTCCTGCTCTCGTGGAATTCAGTGTAGGGGGAGGTAGACCAAAGCAGCCAGTCACACTGCAGTGTGACAGTGTGCTGGTGGGGCAGAGAAGCACCCCTCCCTGGTCTGGGAGGTTGGGGAAGGTTGCCATAGGAAGTCAAGTCTGAGCTGTGGCTTGAAGGATAAACAGGAAGTAGCCAGGCAAACAGAGGGGGATGAGTGAAAGGCCAAGGCCAAGGGAGCAGCATTTGCACATGTTATTTCGGACCTTTCCCACACCAGGCCCTGGGCTTGGCGAGGCCTCCTGGATGCCCAGGCTGGTGGAGGAGACGGTCCAATCAGGCCGTTACAGCCCAGCGCATGATGGGGCACAGTGGACCAAGAGAGCAGAGCTGGGGGTGGGAGAGCAGCAGTCAGGGAAGGTCCCAGAGGGGGTGACAACTGAGCAGGACCCTGAAGGACAGATAAGAATTAGGGTAAATGTGGACAGAAGGATAAGAGCATTCCAGGCAGAGGGAAGCAAGTGCACAAAGTTCCACAGGTCAGAAAAAGCCTGGCTGGGCAGGGTCTCGGACGTGAGAGAGGTGAAGTCTGCACAGAGTGCAAAATGTGGCCAGGGATGGGACAGCCCCAAGGACCTGACAGGGAGCCCAGACGGGACCCTCACAGGCTTCGGGGAGCCCTTGCTGGCAGAGGCATTGCCCAGCCAGCATCCTTTCCCAAAGGGCCAGCGGCTTGCTGGCTCAGAGATCTCTGATCCTGCCTTTTTTCGTGGGAACTTTATCTGTATTCTAAGACAGCAGCCAGAGGGTGAAATCCAACCTGCACCTGTGTTTCACTTGGCCTGCACAGTGTTTGAAAAAATTCAGTCAATCGCCAATGATTGCCAAAGATCGTAAGATTTCATAGAAAAATCCGTATTTCTGGATGTTCTTACCAAAAAAAAAAAAATCGAGAGAGCTGAAAACAGTGGGTGACTGATCCTGTACCATGTGGACCCCTGGAATGCTGTCACAGTTCTCCCCTTTACATGGGACATTCTCTAGTTTACTCCCAGGTCCTCACCACACCCTGTTCCCTGAAGTCAAGGATCAAACGGCCATTTGTCATTGCACTGTGCATTCTTTTAGAGCAGTGGGACCTAAAGCAGAGCCAGCAGCAGCAGCAGCCCAGGGAACTTAGATATACAAATCTCTGCCACACCGCTGCCTACTGAGTCAGAAACCCTGGGGGTGGGGCAGACACTCTGTGTTTCAATAAGTCCTACAGGGGTTCTGAGGCAACTAAAGTTTGAGAACCTCTCCTTTGAAGTGAAGAGACATTTCTGTACCTGCATCTCTGTAGAAACTGGAAAAACTGTAAAATTAGGTGTAGAGGGCCATGGGCCACTGGTCGGTTTAGTGCACTGTCTGGCCCCTGTGACATGGCAATCTGTGCCCAGAACCACCTAAAGGGGCTCTGTGCTCTCTCCCCAAGCTGAGGGGTGGAGGGATGGAGATCTGTGTAGTCCTGGATCACTCAGCCCACATTTCCTGCCTGGTCTACTCAGATTTTACATGACCCACGAGCAGCGGGGGCTGTCATTCGGTGGAAATATGTAAAGGCTGGGCTTGGCTGCACAGGCGCGGGGCTTTTCTCCAGTGCTTCCTGTGCGCCTTCCTGCACTAAGACATAGCATCAGGCCCAGTGAGAAACCAGTATGATTTGTGGGCTTTGGCAGGGTGGGGGGGCCTGAAAAGGAAGGTGCTCCTCTACTTCAAACAGTGTTCCCTACTTCCAGACAAGGGAGTTCCTCAAAATGATTTGGTTCTGTCCCCAACTCCCCTCAGTGTGAGCAGCTTTTGCGGGAGAAACCTGAGCCTCTGCCAGGAGTCACAGCCGTGCACGCTGCT